GGCAACCATTTTACCCGGGCTACACTGGAAACAAATGAGCAGCTCTCCAACCTCACATCCAAAAACCACCCTTGAAGTGATGTAGTGCCAAATGTTTTATACTGTCAGGTGCTACTAATTGTTAAGGTTTAGTCCCCCTCACCAGGAGGATGAGGGAGAACTGAGATAGGACTCAAAATTGCTGACCCAGGTGCTAGTAAAAAAGGTGGTTTAATGCAAAGTAACAAAAAAACAAAACGCATCATAGTCCATGTACATAAATCAGCAAAGTAGGGCAGAGATGGTGTAGGAGACCAGGATGAACGGGTGAGTAGAGCAGACTAACGGTAGGAACCAGGAGAGTAGGAGGATCAGGACGGACAGGTGAATAGTAACCAGGAGGATTGGCGAATGAGAACAAAAAGGAAATCCACAGCACAGGAACTGTCAGCGTGGATATCAAAATTAATGTCTGGCTAACCAAATGGAAAAAACATAGAGATCCACAGCACAGGAACTGTCGGCGTGGAAAACAAAATGACATACAATACATACCACGAATATAGGGCTGTTACGGTTTATGCAAGTTAATGCTCCAGCAACAACGGAGCGTCTGCCAGAGGTATAAATAAGGAGGAAGGTAATCATCGGGATGCACCCCAGCTGTGTGCACTGACAAAAGAGTCACTAATTACCGAATGCAACACACGTGGGGTGAAGACCCCGCAAGTCGAGAGAGGAGAGAAAGGCGGAAGAGAGGCAGGTCGCACCAAGCGGACCTGACACTAATTCCTGTTTTCTGTGAGCTTAGAGCAAAAGACCAGGTTCCTCTGCTCACAAACTGGTCAAATGGGCAAGAAACAGTTAGACCCTAATCTACATCAGAGTTATAAAGACTATACCAATATCAGTTTTTGAGAGTGTAGAAATTAAACTATATATGTATGTGGCAGTTTTCTGTTATTTTATACATGAACATTTAATATAAACAAACACTGTTATTATGCAGAAGTATAACATTGCACACTTTCTTATTGTAATATACTGTAAATGTTGTCACTTCATGTATTCTGTATCATTCTTATTTATCACTGTGTATTATATTGTACCTTAGTTGTAATATTATACCATCATATACTGTATAGGATAACTACTGGTGTCACTTTACTTTACCACATATAGCATTTCTCTTTTGTATGAAAACACACTATTTATTACTCTATATTCTATACAGTTCCTGTGGTGTCCTATAGTATACTAGTCTCAATGACAGAGAGAGAGAGAGAGAGAGAGAGAGAGAGAGAGAAATCACTTTATTATTCCCAGAGGGGAAGTCCTGGTTTTACATTTGCAGAAAAGGAGTAAGTAATTATTGTTTGGTGACTCAGACTTGCCTCAGGCTCGAACACTGGGGACTCGAGACTTGACTAGGAGTTGAGGTTTAGTGACTCAAGTACAACAGTGTCTGGAGTAAATATTAAGAGACAGGAGCAATAAGCCATACTTTCATGTTGGTTTCAAACTGACCTCATAGTGGTTTGGAGAAATATTTTTTAGATCTCATCTTAAGAATTATTGTTACAAGACCAACATGTCATCCACTCGTTTTCTAGCCTAGATAGTACAAATGCATTTTTTAATGTCCTGCCCCTCTGAGCACACATTAACCACTGCACTGTTGTGCCTGTGTATCTGAGTGTTTGTCAGTCCCTTCCATCAGCTCTACTCCTCTGATTTCAGCAGCCCCGCTCTCCTCAGCACCGTGATCACATTGGGCAACATTCTGTCTTTGAAGTCCCACAGTCGGGTGTCCACATGCAGCTGCTCCAGTGGCTGTTGAACCACGTTACCGAATTGGCTGTGAATGATGCAACAGATGTCCGGTGGAACCTTGAACTTTTGACCAAACATCTTAAGGACTTCATGTACTGAGGTCTGCTCCACTGCCCTGTGGTGCACATAAACATTTACACATGGTCAACTTCATGTTTACATAGGATCACATTACTGCTATTTAATAATTTTAAAGTTTTTCTCAAAGTATATAAAAGATAACATTTTTGCGACTTCATTAAGTAGTATGAGCAGTCCTCCTACCTTGGCTTCACTATCATCTTGTAGGGGTGGTTTATGGTTCTGTCAGGCTCCTTCCTGTAGATGTGTTCTAGAATATTAAACCCTGGCACCCCTCTCCATTGAGGCATCGTCCTGTTTGCACTTTTCTCAAATGGATTTTTGGGAAAGAAATGGTTCTCTATGAGGAACACCCCGGCCTACAGAACATGGATTCAGGTTAAATAGTTGCAGCATGAAAAGTTGGAAAGAAAATAAAATCTAGTAAATAACTTTAATCCCCAAAATACCCTACATCTGGATGCTGCTGTTGGAGCATGTTCATCAGGCTCATCAGGTCATTGTGTTGGTATGGCATTATTATCTCATCTATGTCGTGCAACAGGATGTAGCGTGATCGGTCCATGGATCTGTAAATGCAGTCATTAAGCGTGGTCAGCTGGCCAAAATAGTGCACGTCCCCTCCGTGCTTTGAGAAGAGCCAACGGCGAGATGGATTTAGGTGCTGGTCAATGGGCCAGGAAACCATCTCCACAAAGCCCTCCTGTGTGTATCTCTGCAGCAGGCGGTGGAGCTCTGGACCACAGCTGGTGTTGTAGATCACCACCCTGTCCACACCCAGCAGCCTGGTGAAGGTGAGGCAAAGGTTCAAATTCATTACATTACATTACATTTCCTTTTGTCCAAAGTGTCTCTCATTAAGTCAGTTCAAACCACATAGACGCAAGATATAGCATCCGAAATTGTGAGTTTATCCCTTTTAAACAAATACTGTATATAAAACCAGTCTCTGTGCTACAGTACAATGTCTTGTAGATTTTATGGGGTTTTATGTGTTAGGGAAGATTTAATGTTGTTTTTACAATTAGGCTTTTATACATAGATTTTTCTATGGATTAAATGAGTCAGATGGCACAATTTAACTAATGTGTTGTAGAACTAATTTTAGATGGACCTTGATACCTTTGGACAGAACAGGCTGGCAGTTCTCCCGTTTCCAGTGTTTGTGCTAAGCTAAGCTAACTGCCTCTGGCTGTAGCATATTATTTACTACACAGATGAGAGCGCTATTGTGCTTCTCAACTAAATCTAAGACATATAAACAAATTTCCCAAAATGTCACTGTTCCTTCAACTTACATTCGGTTTGTGACCAAGAGGAAGTCGTTTAGCTCTGTGGCTATTTTTCAGGCTGTCATTGGTGGTGCTGCTACATTTACAGATTTAAAGTGCTGACCTGTACATCTCCAGGGTTTTTAGATCAAAACAAGACTTTTTCACTGCAGAGTACATTCAGAGCAAAGATTTGAATATTTCATAGAGACACCACTGAGACCACCCTACCCTGCCTCACTACAGTAACAAAGACACCTGTATAATATCAGGGTGTCCGCGGGGTTTTAAAAAGTATTAAAAAGTGATTAATCAAAATTGCCAAATTTAAGGCCATTAAAAAGTGTTTAATTTGGTTTAGAGGTATTATTTT